TGTGACTTTAATAATGATAATCCAAATGGTCGTGGAGTTCTGTTGGGAGAGGCCCTTCCTGCCTTTGCAAGGACTTTTCCAGCAGTGCTTCTCCTCTGGACACATCAAGGGCTGAGACCATTCCAGAAATAACAGTGGACATGATTATTTCCTGGGTTTACACTGACAAAAACTGTGAATTGACATCACCCCCAGGAAGCAAACCCAGGGGAATGACTGACCTTTTCCTCCTCACAGGGTTTCCACGGAATTACGCTACAGAAAACAGCCTTGGGGGCTGGTGAAATCCTTCATTGAGAAGAATTTTTGGAGTGGCCTGGAAGATTATTTCCGTCATTTGGGTAAGAGTGGCAGTGACAGTGGCACTCGTGCTTCCCTGGGAGTGGGCAGCAGGATCCAGCCTTCCGGTGGCTCATAAAAGGGCTACCACAGCCAGAATACCTGCTGGAATTAATCAGGGCATCAGATCCTGCTCCCTGCCAGGCAGTTTAAGGTCAAATTTTAATAAAAATTGCGAGTAATGTGGAGCACAAATCTCTCAAACTCTGCCAGCCTCTTTGGCCCGGCTGATGCCTTTCTGGGCTATGTAAAAACAGAGGCCAGACAAAATTAAGGGAATAAAAAGCAATTCTATTTATTGAAGGCCTTCAGGTGCATTTAGGGCAGACAAAGCCCCCCAGGGGCTGCACCCAAAATGGACCATGGCTCACAGGTTTCACACTTTTATCAGTTTGTTCCATTTGCACATTGGGGGTTCATCTCCCAATTCCAGCTGCAGGGAATGAAGGAATTTCCCCCAAGTTTGCTGCCCCCAACTCCCTTTTGTTTCCATCTCTGGGGCCCTGAGGCAGTGAGGTGTCCCTGATTGCCAGGCCTGGAGAGGAATTGTTGTGTGTGCCCAAGGTGGGGAAGCAGCAGCTCCCAGTGTGTGTGGAGTTTGGAGTCACACACTGAGGAATGGCAGGAGTACAGATGTGTGAGAAACAGAAAAGCTGAAATCCTATCAGCATCACAGCAGAGGGGTTAAACCTCTCCCCCTCTTCAAAACCCCACCTCTTAACGCTCCCCCTTGGTGCTGCAGAGAGCGAGCTGACCAAAACAGAGAGCACATACCTGGCTGAGGTGCACAGACAATCCCCCAAAGAGAAGGTGAGCAAGCAATCCACGGTGCGCCGGCGGAAACGCGCCCACGCCCACCTGCGGGTGCCACACCTGGAGGAGGTGCTCAGCCCCGTCACCACCCCCACGGATGAGGAGGTTGCCCATCGAATCAAGCACGTGGCAGGTGAGCAGCTGCAAACCCCACAGCCTTGAGGGGACAAACAGGGGCTTTGTCACAGAGGGGCTGTGATGTGCTGGGGGTGTTTGGGTGAGGTGGAGGTGGGGGGAAAGGATTGGGGCTTGCCTTGCCCTGTTTCCCATCCCAAATTCTCCCCATCTCCTCAGGTTCCACTCAGACACGGCACATCCCTGAGGAGAGCCCCAGTGGCTTCCACCTGCAGAGTGTCTCCAAGCTGCTCCTTGTCATCAGCTTTGTGTAAGTGATGACTTTTTCTGCTTTCCTCCCAGTCAGCATTGAACACCTTTGGTTTATCTGTGTTCCTGCAGTTCTGTGCGCCCTTCTCTCCTCTCCCCGTGGTTTTGCCCTTGTTTTAGCCAAACATGGGCTTTGCAGATCTGTTCTGGGAGTCCTAAAGGCAGGTCTGGGACCTGTCTGGGACCTGTCTGGGACAGGGACAATCAGGACTGAGGCAGCTGTGCAAGGAGAGAGGAGTCAGTACCTACAAGAGGAGGAATCCAACAAGTAGAATAATTTTATCTTTTATTTTTTTACTTCAGGGATGCAGTTTACAGATTTTTAGTGACACACAGAAAAACTGTGTGTGTGTTTGGGGGGTGTAATTTAAAGCAGGTGATTTAACTGCTGACACACGAGCTGCTATCATGGACAGTGACTGTGCAAAGCTCTCTGGGCTACCACAGCAAGGCTTAGTGTCTGTGAGGATTCTGTCACATCTTCCCTCTGGTCTTGAAAGACCTTTCCATGTCAGGTCCTGGGCAGTGATTTTGATGAGAGGTACAGCCAGAAAGCAGCTGGACCCTTCAGAGATGATTTCTGCACAATCAGTAAAGAAAACACCTGAGGCACAAGAGATTGATGTGATTTCAGCAGCACAAACTGTTTGGTTTGGGGTTCTTTCCTGCCACACCTTTCAGGATTGGTGGGCTTGGGCTGGGATGTGCTCTCCAAGTGAGCTGGGAATGAGCCTCTCATGTCCCTGTGGCTCATTTTAATACCTGAACTCACTGTTTTTACTGTCCCTCTGCCCTTGGGCCGACAGCAGGCTTCATTTAGTGCTGGGCTGGTACTGTGGAGCAGAACAGACTAAAACAGTGATCCAGGCTTTTC